AGCCTTGCAGATTCAAATATTGACCTTGCAAAGGACAGGAAATTTTCCTCAGACTATAAAGTCTCTGTTGTAAGATAAAGATTTGTGGCACAGCAAGGTTGCAGGCTCAAAGACAGATAGGTTACTGACTGATATGTGCAGATACTGGAAAACTGCTGGAGGGAGAAGGAATGTTTGCTAAGATCAAGCTTTTGTTGATGGGATCGCTTAATTGTCTAACGTAATGTCATCTGACTTATTTCACTGAAAGTTACCAGCCTATATTGTTAAACTATAACCCCACCTATGTTCTCTTCCTGTAACTTCCTGGTCTAGAAAATAAATGCAGGAAGAGAACCTCAATTCGGGGTTAATTTCCCAAGGAAGGGATGCCTCTTGCTTGAGGGTTCTGGTGAAGTTAACCACTTTGGGGCTTCTCACTGCTCAGAAGAGATGGGCTTTGAGTAATCCTTTGCAGCTCCGTCACCCAGGGGAAGTGGGGTGACAAATCCGTGGGGGGCAAAGCAACAGTAAGTCTTCCAATCCAAGAGCATGAAATGTCTTTCCATCTTTTTGTGTCCTCTTTAATTTCTTTCAGCAGTGATCTGTAGTTCTCATTGTAGAGATCTTTCACCTCCTTGGTTAAGTTTATTCCTAGGAATTTTATTTTTTTAGGTGACTACTGTAAACTGGCTTCCTTTCTTGATTTCTTTTTCTGCACAGAAATAGAAAAAACAATCCTAACATTCATATGGAACAACAAAAGATCCCGAATAGCCAAAGCAATACTGCCCCCAAAAATAAAGCCAGAGACATAATACCATCTGACTTCAAATTATACTTCAAAGCTATAATAACCAAAACAGCATGATACTGGCATAAAAATAGACACTCAGACCAATAGAACAAAATAGAGAACCCAAAATCAAACCACATACTTACAGCCAACTGATTTTTGACAAAGGCAAGAACATACATTGGGGAAAAGACTGCTTCTTCAATAAATGGTGCTGGGAAAACTGGACATCCATACGTAGAAGAATGACACTAGACTCATATCTTTCACCATATACCAAAACCAACTCAAAAATGGATTAAATACTTAAATGTAAGATCTAAAACTACAAAAATCCTAAAAGAAAACATAGGGGAAACACTTCAGGAAGTAGGACTTGGCAAAGACTTATGAATAAGATCCCAAAAGCACAAATAACAAAAGGAAAAATAAACAAATGGGATTATATCAAACTACAAAGCTTCTGCACAGCAAAAGAAACAATTAACAGAGTAAAAAGACAACCTACAGAATGGGGGAAAAATATTTGCAAACTATGCATCCGACAAGGGATTAATATCCAGAATATACAAGGAACTCAAACAACTTAACAGTAAAAAAAAATAAGTAACCTGGTTTAAAAATGAGCAAATGAGCTGAATAGGCATTTCTCAAAGGAAGATATACGAATGGCCAACAGGTACATGAAAAAATGCTCAACATCACTAATCATCAGGGAAATGCAAACCAAAAGCACACTGAGATATCATCTCACCCCAGTTAGACTGGCCATTATCAAAAAGACAGAGTAACAAATGCTGGTCACGATGTGGAGAAAGGGGAACACTCCTACACTGCTGGTGGGAGTGTAAATTAGTGTAGCCATTATGGAAAATAGTATGGAAGTTTCTCAAACAAATACAGATAGAACTGCCATACGATCCAGCAATCCCACTGCTGGGTATATATCCAAAGGAATGAAAATCATCAGTTGAAGGGAAACCTGCATTCCCATGTTTACTGTAGCTCTAAATACAATAGCCAAGTGTTGGAACTAACCTAAACCTCCACTGATGGACAAATGGATAAGGAAATTGTGGGGTGTGTGTGTGTGTGTGTGTGTGTGTGTGTGTGTGTGTGTGTGTGTGTGTGTGTGAAGGAATACTACTCTGCCATAAAAAAAGAATGAAAATCTGTTATTTGCAGCAACATGGATAAACGTAGAGAAAATATGTTAAATAAGCCAGGCACAGAAAAAGAAATACCAAATGTCCTCATTTATAAGTGGTACCTAAAAAAATAAATAAACAAACAAATAAATAAAAAAGAAAGACACAACAATCACAATAACACATTTAACTACTAAAAGGAGAGAAAAGAACTGAGGTTACCAGAGATGGAAAAGGGGGAGGGGGAGTTACTGAGAAACTGGTAAAAGACCACAAAAAATGATTACATTGTATAATATTGAATATATAATTATCTTGATTGAACCATCACATATGGCACACAGGAACTAATACTTAATGCTGTTTGTACCCCACGATACGTACGATCAATTGTGTTTCAATTCAGAAAAGATAAAGAAAAAACACGAAGAACTGCACCAGAAACATGAATATATTTTTTAAAGTCAGATAAATTTAGAAATGAAAAATAGAAAAACACATTAAGATTCCAAAAGATGAGTTTTAAAAGCAGATTAGAAATAACAGAATGAAATGTTAATAAACTGCCAGATAGAACAATGTAAAATATTCAGATTGAAGTACAGAGTAAAAAAAAGGGGGAAATACAGAAAATGTATAAAAAGTACAAAAGACATATGGACAGAGTCAAAAGGTCTAACAGCACAAAAGTCATAACAGGGAGGTAAATGAAATTATGCTGTTGGAAGATTTTTACATTGTTTATGAGGTGGTAAAATACTGAGTCAAGTTGGACTGTAATAAATTGATTTGGAATCCGGTTTGGGGAATAGTAAAATTACTGATTCAAGGTAATGTAATAAGTTAGTCAGGCATATTGGAATCTCTAGGGTAATTACTAAAAGAATAAGATAGGATTATAAAAAATTAAGAATAGTGGAGGAAAAACTGATAATAAGAAAGATGAGATTGCTCAATGTCACTAACCATCAGGGAAACGCAAATCAAAACCACAGTGAAATATTACCACACATCTGTTAGGATGGTTATTATAAAAACAAAACAAAACATAAAACAAAGACAAGTGTTGGCAAGGTTGTAGAGAAATTGGAACCCTTGTAATGCAAGGTTGGGGGAACTCAAAATGACGCAGCTACTATGGAAAACAATTCTGGTAGTTTACTGAAAATGGAAAATCGTGGATTGCTATTTGTAAGATTTATAAATTTGGCACTTTGAGGGCTACCAAGTGTAGAGAGTTGATAACAAATGCAGTCACTGGGGAAAGCAGAGCTAACGGATGGAAAGAAAGACTGAATTCTAATACCATGATTTGAGCCCCTGGATCTGCCCATGCCTGATGTTCTGGAATTTTCACTTATACATGGTAATACATTTTTTTCTTAACTTAAGCCAGTTTGAAGTAGGTTTCTTTCATTTGCAATTCCAGAGTCCTCACAGATATATGCCCAATATGTACTTAATGTTTAACAACTGTTTAAATGGAATATAAACACCACTATCAGCTATAATATGAAACAATTTAATTCACAGATATGAGACTTGTCAAATCTCACCAAACATTCTTTGTCCAGAAATGCTGGTTAAATTAAGGTCTGAGACTATTTCACCAACGGAAGACAAAAGCACCAGAGGTAGTTAAACGCTTTCAAAATGTTCTGATACTGAGAAAGGTGGAACTTAAAAGTCATTCAATTAGATTTGGTAGATGCATTAATTTGAAATGCAGTATTTCCTCCTGGTTAGGAAGTTATACTAGTAATAATTCTCTGCACCTACATTGTACTTTCTTTCTGCACAATCAGACTTAGACACGCACACACGTACACACATTTTCTTTCAACTCAAAATCACTGGTTAGTGGTCACGTAGTTTATCACCATGTTTGCTTTGAAAGAGATAATTTTTGGCAAAGATAAAACATATGCATTCTTACACAAATGTGTTTATACAAACGATATTAGGTGAGTGCTCTAAAGAGATTCAAATTTTACATATACATACATACATTTAATATACTGATTTCATACTACTAAAATTAGTTTCTTTTTTAGTTTTTGTAAAAAAAAGAAACAGCTCTGAAAATACAAAATAACAATTAGAATCAAAACACTGGATGGCTTCTGAAATACTGTTTCTTTAAATAATTACTTTAATGTTTTCTTTTCTTTTTTTTTTTTAAAGATGACTGGTAAGGGATCTTAACCCTTGACTTGGTATTATCAGCACCATGTTCTCCCAAGTGAGCCATCAGGCCAACCCTATGTAGGGATCCAAACCTGTGGCCTTGGTGTTATCAGCACCACACTCCCCCAAGTGAGCCACGGGCTAGCCCCTACTTTAATGTTTTATAAAGTATTAAAACTTCCATAAGAAAACTTTAATAACTTATTAGGCATCATGATAATCTTCATTTTTGTAACTCTATTTCCAAAAGGACAAAAGTCAATCACCTACTTTCAACAGCAAACTTTTCATAAAATCACATTAAACAATACCACTTTCCTATAAAGTTTTTATTTCTGTGAAATCAAGGAAATAGGCCTGTTTAAAAATATTTATTCATGTGTAACCTATATAATTAAACTTCAGAGTACACTGGAGTTTTTAAAATAAGTTTACTACATTTGGTCAAAATGTGTTAACTTCCTTTAAATTATTATGCAAAAATGGTTCAGGTTGAAACTAAGACAAATTAATGTAAACTTCTATCAAGACTTAGTAGGATTAATAACACTGTAACTATTCTAAAATACACCAAACTATACCAATATTGTGAAACTAACTAGATCTATTTACTTGTGTTAAGCTCAAGTGATACTTCTAAGAAGTGTTTACTGAGGTTTCTGAATTCCATAGATTCAAATTACCCTCACCTTCATCAGTTAATAAAATATAGTAGTTAAAGGGTACATTATGAAATCAGAAAATCCTAGTAAAATGACAACTAGAAATATTTGTAACCATACAGAAAAGCTCAAATTTTTAAATGTAATTTATCATAATCTTGCAGATTACATATGTAGCATTGAGATATTAAAACACATATAAGAAAAGAACAGAAATAGAAACGATACCCTTTTTAGTTGCTGTTCTTTTAAACTTCTCACTGTCCTTGCAGGCTCAGAAATGAAGTTTTTATAGTTTTCACATATATTGATCCGAGACTGGGCTACCTGCATTGTTCCCTCGAGAAAAGATTTCCAAACAGGATACATACTCCTAAATTCAAAGAGGGATAGAAAAGTATTAGTCAGGGAAAAGGAAAAAAAAGTTGGCTAATCTTTTGCTCACTGACAGAATGAATGTCTTCTTTATAACTGTAAATGTATTTATACCAGCTTATAGGCAATATTTCAGCACATATAAGCAGCAGCATGACATATTCTTTATTCCTTTATAATTCTGCAATAGGGGATTTTGATTCATTAGCTATTCTTAATAACGGAGTAAAGGGATACAAGAATAACAATTCTAGACAAGGCTGACACAATAAAGATTAGTAAATTATTCAGACTCTCTAGGCCTTTTACTGTCACCAGGTCATAATCATATATATCAAGTTTTATTGTTTTATTAAGGTATTTTCATAATTTTACAAATGAAGTAACTGGGGCCCAGAGAAATTTAGAGAATCACTCTAGGTCACACAAGAATGTAGCAGTACTGAGATAAAGACAAAGTTGGATACCTCTAAAGTACATTTTCTTTCAACTACATCATATTACTCTCTCATATAAACTGATGAGACTGGAAAAAAATTTATCATTAACAATGGCTTATGTGCTTGAGAAGTCTGTTCTGTCTGACAAAAGAAATCCATGGTATTGTTGCTCTACATCTTGTCTCTGTTGTAACAATGCTTAGCCAGCATCACACAGTGCGTCAGAGTCATTCCAAGCAAGTCTATCACCTTTCCTTGATTAATATGGTCAGCAACCTCTTAGCAAAGTCAAAGAATTATTAATCCTCTGTTTTTCCTAGCCAACTTCCTTTTCAAACCTTCTTCCTACTTTGTTAAATGCTTCAGCCAATGTTAGTATGCTTCTACACTAGCTATAAACATATTTTATAATTTATCATAACAATGGATGGTACTTTGCTTTTGAAAATAACATCGGTACAGTGAATTTTTGATAGAGTATAATACAGGCTCACAGTATCCCTTATCTGAAGTGCTTGGAACTGAAGATTTTGGATTTTTTTGGATTTTGGAATATTTTCAGAATACATACCTATTGAGCATCCTTAATCTGAAAATCCAAAATCTGAAATACTCCAATGAGCATTTTCTTTGAGCATCATTTTAGCACCCAAAAAGTTTTGGATTTTGGGATTAGTAATACTCAACCTGTATTCATCTCCTGAGATTTCTCTTTTGATGTTCACACAGATTTTCTACCATAGCAATGTATGGGATCATATGCTACATAAAAAACTAGCTATGGGTCAATAGATGTCAGCATAAAAACAAGAAAAAGAAAAATTTCCTGGGTCCTCATCCTAGTTAGAACTAAAAAAACTTTGATAAACTATAGGTTTCAGGTAAGCAGTCTTATGGATTAGTTCATGTAATACACCAAATGAATTGGTTTAGATGGAAATATTCATTTATTTAGGCAGAGGTGTATCATCACTCCTCAGGAAAGATTCAGTGTTGCGTCAGAAAAAAAAACTGTCAGCCTAAAAGCACTGATGAACTTAAAAACAGCAAAATTAATGTCTTCCATGGCCTCACTGCATGACAACCAATGGAACTTATAATGTAAACTTACCACAGGCCCTCCCCTAAGCAATCCAAATAATTTATTTTCTAAGAGAATGCACTGAGAGAAAAATTCACTACTATGCTTTGTAACTATTAATTTATACTTAAAATACACCTTAAAATCATAATGGAAAAAAGAATCATTATGAATAGTGGAAGGAGGGGAGGGAGGGAGAAAGGGAAGGGTCCTACATCCATGTTCTTCCCTTAGTTTAGCACCCTCCTCCATTTACCCCTCACCTAGTTAACTGCGGTCACCCTTCCAACCTCAGCTTAAATGTAACTTCCACTGGGAAGTTTTTCATGATTACCACCAAGCCAACCCCTAGACTCAATCAAGTCCCTCTTTGTTATTTGTTCATGGCTCTAGCACTTTTCCTTCAATTATAAATGTTATTATGTAATTGTTTAGTGAATGTCTGTCCCTCTCACTATAGTGAAAACCCTATGAAGGCAGCAGTGTGTCTTGCTGACTATTGTATTCCTAGGGTCTACCAAATATAGAATGGTTACAACAATATATATTGAATGAATAAATGAATGAATGGATGAATGTAAAAATTATGAAGACTTACAATAAAAAAAGAAATCCTTTCATTACAAAGAGAGTTTAAAGAGACTTTAAGAGATTAGCAGATTTATATAGCAGGCAAACATATCCTGAACAATGAGGTACCATTGAAAGCATGGAATTCAGCTACCAGTCAGAAGATCTGGGTTCAAGTTCTAGTTTAACCAATATACTTATATGTAGCACACCTCACTATACTTTCATTTCCTCAATGGGAAAATGAGGAAATAACAAAAATACCTGCACCACATACCTCAGAGGGCTATTTTAACAATTAAATGCAAATGATGTGAAAACCCTTGGCACACAGATTCTTTAAAATGAATAAATAGTAATAGTAGCAGAATTTTAATAGAAATAAAAGTACTTTTTGTTAATAGTGGCAATTTCAATGGTAGTAGTGTTTTTCACTCTGATTGAGGAAAAATAATCATGGGCCATAGAGTGATTTTTCAAAAATTTTATTTCACCAGGTTTCACATGAAGCAATTTCGAAGGATAAGGAAAGGTGTCAAGCATGTATGGTATTTTGGTATTCTGCTCAGGTCAGAAAATGAGGCTCGAAATTATAAAAGAAAGAAAGAAGATTCTTTTAAGAACCTATCACATGGTAGGCACCACGTTATGTATTTTACATTTATCACATCATTTAATCTTCATTACAACTTTGTAAGATAGGTATTATCCCCATTTTACAGAGGAGAAAAGTGAGGCTCACAGAGGTTGTGAAATTTTTCTAAGGCCATTCATCATGAAATAGCACCCCCATGGTCATAAACTAGACTTTGCCATTACCCATAACTACCCCTTTGCTCTCATCTGAATTTCAGTCATCTAATCTCTGACTAACACCTCCTGACTCCATTCACTCCCTTAAGGATTCTGACTCCAACCCTATGGGAACCCACAATCCATTTGATTCTACCCCCTTTCCACTGTCTCTTTAGGATTCTGACTCCAACCCTATGAGAACCCACAATTCATTTGATTCGACCCCCCTTTCCACTGTCACTCCCATAATTTCCCTTCTGAGGTCCTTACCCAGCCTAGGTTTCACGGTCTATCATTATAATCACTCCCTATATACACCCTTATTACTCACCCTTGCCCTCTCTCTTTCCATCATTAAAACCTACAAGATCCTACCTTGGTTAAATCCAAAACTGTGTTTACACTATACCAAAGTCTGTGGCAGAATATGGCTGGAGAAAAAGACAATCGTGCTGCCTCATCTCATTTTAAATTGAGGTCGAATAAATTCTAGTAATTCCTTAGTGTTATCCAGAAATACTACTATATTCCCCCTTAATCCATTTAGTCTCCCACTGTTCTAGACAATTATTTCCCAACTTTTCTTTTCTTCTCAAACATCTAATATGACCATACTTTCGGCTGACAAAAAAGCTATCAAAAGATAATGTACACATGTTCCCACCACATCCACCAATCTCTTTGTCTCTGCACCCATACATTCTGCCATCACTCCTATTACTTGCATGAACTACATGTGCTCTGAATGCCAACCCTTCACATTTACACTACATTGTATATATAATCTCTCGCTCAAGAGTACCAATCCAGTAATCTCCTGTAACATCAATTTTTCCTTCTCTACTGGATCATTCTCCCAATTAGATATGTTATAAAATCTCCATTTAAAAAACAACAACCCTGGGCCAGCCCGGTGGCGCACTGGAGAGTGCGCCGCTTGGGAGTGCGGCGGCGCTCCTGCCGAGGGTTCAGATCCCATGTGGAGACTGGTTCCCGCTCACTGGCTGAGCGCGGTGCGGGCGCAACACCGAGGGTTGCGATACCGTTGCCGGTCAGTAAAAAAGACAAAAAGGAAAAAAATAAAAAATAAAAAACAACAACCCTCCATAAAGCCTACATTCCTCTCCAGCTACCATCTCAATGTCTGTTCCCTTTTACAGCAAAATTCCTTAAAAGAATTGTCTGAAATGACTGTCGCCACTTCCTCTCTTTCTGGTCTTTTGAAACTGCTTGTCAAGGTCAATGAAAATCTCCCTGTGGATAATCCCATTAGTCAATTCAAATCATTTTTTTTCCCTATTACTCAAACTATCAGAAGCATTGACCTAGTTTATATTCTTCTTGAAATGTTTTCTTTTTTTTTTGTCTTTTTTTGTGTCCGGCAACGGATCGCAACCCTCAGTGTCGCGCCCATACTGGACCGGGACCGGCAACGGGATCGCAACCCTCGGTGTTGCTCCCACACCTCGCTCAGCCAGTGAGCAGGAACCGGTCTGTATGTGGGATCCGAACCCTTGGCGGGAGCGCCACCACGCTCCCAAGCAGTGCACTGTAGCAGTGCGCCACCGGGCCGGCCCTTGAAATGTTTTCTTTACTTGGCTTCCAGTACATCACTCTTTCTTGGTTTACTGCTACTTCACTGGCCACCCTTTAACCTGCTTGGCTTGTTCCTCTTCATCTCACTGCCCTGTAAATGCTAAAGTGTCCCAGAGTCAGTCTCCAGACTTCTTTTCTTTAACTACACTCACTCTTTAGATGAGCTCACCAGTCTCATAACTTTAAAGACTATCAATATGCTGACTATTCCTGAACTTTTAATTCCTGCCCAGACATCTTCCCTAACCCCCAACTGCCAATTTTACATATCCAACTTGGATATTTAGTAGGCATCTTAAACCCACTATGTCCAAAACCAAATTCCTGACATCCTTAAAATCTGTTCTCACCATCTATTCTATCTCATTGACAGCTATTCAAACTTTCTAGTTGCTCAAGCTGAAAATTTTAGAATCATTGATTCTTCCTTTTTCTTCATATCCCACATCTGCTCCATTAAGAAATCCTGTCTGCTAGACTTACAAAATATAAAGGAATCTGATGACTGCCTATCTC